GTGTTTGAGCATATTTTCTTAACCGATGTTGTTACAGTTACTTTTATTTTAGTGGCTAGTCCGTTTATATCCATTTGTTTCAGTGTCTCTATTGATTTTAGTCTTGTGCTTAGCTCTTTTTTATATTCCGTTTGTTTTTGAAACAGGACATCGGTGGTTGGGTATCGTTCTCGTTTAATAAGTTTGCTTCGTTCTACTCTCGTCTGCCCCTGCCCAATAAAAACAGAAAAATTCTATGTGGTGAGTTGAATATTAATTACGCTGTTCATCAGACCATCAACTGATATATATGTATTGGACATTACGTCATCAGTGTCGGCGTAAAGACGTAATCGAGGATTTATTTTAAAGACAAACCGAGGTCACGTGACAGCTCATTTGAAAGGTCTCCTTATCGTCTATGCAACGATGTAATCACTTGAATATTTATGTTTACCAAATTTATGAACTTTGTTAAGTAATATGGAATTACAATAAATATTCATTCACTGAACTAAAATACACTAAGGAACGCCACTGGGAATAAAACAACATAGCGTTTTTGCTGGTTAAAAAAAAATAGATTGATAACAAACAATGCTTCATTATAATCTGAAACTAATTATTGTAGTAAATATATTTATTAATAAAAATAAATAAATAAGTTATTTTTCAAAAATGGGTAAATCAATATTGTCATTGCTGTCTTTATTTGTCAATGATCTGTGAATCTGTCAAATAATAGACGTCAAATGTTTACTCTTTGAGTTTTTTGCCGACATTTACAGCATTTACAAAAATGAAACTAACAGAAACAGAACGAATCGAGATTTTAACCATGATTGGTTATGGAACTAGAGTGAGGATTCAAGCAGAAGTTGGTAATTTATTTAATGCTAAATACCCCAATCGCGAACCAATTACTCAATCAACAGTAAGTAAAATTGAAAAAAAATTGAGAGAAACGGGCTATATTAAAGATCTTCCCAGTTAGAAAATTAATATCCGAAGCCAAGAAACTGGACGTTGTACTGGCGTTTCAAGAACATACTCATACCAGTTTTAGGCAGGTCGCACTAGATAAAAATAATGTCCTTTAATCAACTGTTGTGAGAGTGCTAAAAAAGGAGAAGTGGCATCCATACAAAGTACATCTGGTCCATCAGCTATTAGAAGATGACTTTGATAGAAGAATCAAATTCTTCCAAACCGTTGTGGAAAAATGTAACCGAGATCAGAGTTTCATATAAAAGGTACTTTTTGCTGATAAAGCGTCTTTAATCCTGAACGGTCATGCAAATCGTCAGACATATCGATACTGGGAAAGTGAAAATCCACATTGGATGGAAGAGTATAGGACACAATATCCCGAGAAGGTGAATTGCCACAGTTGAATCAGCTATTTCCAAATAGAAATGATTTGTGGTACCAACATGATAGGGCTCCCTCACACTACGGCGTTGAGGTACGAAATTACCTTAATAACGTTTTCTCAGGTAGGTGGATAGGTAGAAGATAGGATAGGATAGGATAGGATTTGACTCCGTTACACTTTTTTGTGGGGATATTTAAAGACCAGAGTGTATTGAAATCTACCGAATAATATAGAAGAGTTGAAGGAGCGCATCAGAACGGAAATTGCACAAATAACACCAGAAGTCCTCGAAAACGAAAGATGAGCAATAAAATAATTTATTGCTCATCTTTCACCTTGTATTATTGCTGAAGGTCGTCAATTTGAACATTTGTTGTAATTTAATTGTATTTAAGTAAACATTTATTTTAAGTTAATTGTATTATTAAACCAACAGTGTTATATCGTTGCAAAGGCGATAATGAGACCTTTCTAATGAGCTGTCGCGTGACCTCTGTTTGTGTTTAAAAAATCGTCGATTACGTCATTATGCCGACACTGTTGACGTAATGTCCAACACATATATAGCAGCTGATAGCCATTTAAAAATTAAAATTGACTTGTTTTAAGATTTTTTTTTAAAGTCGTCTGTTTCTGAAATAATAAATTTATTCAGTATATTTGCATCATATTTATACCAAGTTTAATACTATTAACAAACAATTCTCGAAAACCCAACGTTTGGGTAGAATTTTTTCTACTCAGAACATTCGTAAATTCCAAAATTGGTGCTTGACTTCTGGGTAGCATTTCCCTCTGTGGACGTAGACTATTTTAGTGATTTTTTAAATAGGTTTGTCTGTATTTTCAATAAGGCATTTTCTTTAATTACAATTAAGTCAAAACAGCACAAACCCTGGACTATCAAAGGTATCCACATTTCAGCCAAGATTATACGTTTATTACTGTAACTTAAGAAATTTACTACCAACGTCTTTGTCACTGAGTATATTTCCAAGTACTGAGAAAACTATCAAAAACTTATCAAAACAGGTAAAAAATGTACTATCAAAATCGTCTGGGAAACTCTAAAAATGTTGCAAAAGAAACTTGGTCCATAATAAACGATCTTCGAAATAAAACTAACGTAACTCAAAAATGTTCTCTTTCAAACCCTAAAAATCTAAATAAATACTTCGTTAATGTGACTAAAAATATAACATCAGCAATTTTGCCACAAGATTCCATTTCCTATCTTCTCAATTCTCGAATTCATTCTTTATAAGACCAGTTGATAAATCTGAACTGATCCAAATAATCATTAGTATCAAAAGCAAATCTTCCTGTAGTACTGATAAACTATCAGTACATATCATGAATCATGAATGTGTTGCTTGTGTGAGTCCATATCAAATAGGTAAAGAAATAATAATAAGACTTACTCACAATCAATTTAATTTAACAATCAGACGACCGGTTTCGCTTTCTACAATTTGCAAAGCATCTTCAGGTCTAGATACAAAGTTAAACTAATGCTGCAATAAAATAAACCCAATTAGGGTGGTGTCTAATAAAGATAAAATAAACAAATAAGTTAGTTCATACAAATTATAGTAATTATGCCAATATTACATGTCTGTGGTTTTCAAAATGAATAAATTTGAATATATAAAAGGTATTAACAGACAAGGTAAGACCCACAATTGGTATAAAGTAGTAATATTATATTGTAATAAATTAATAAATGAGCAGATAAATAAAACAAAACAAACATTACTTACATGCCGGTACTCTATTAATTGATGGATGGTAGGTCATGGTTGCAAAAATCATGTATTGTTGATTGGAGAACTTTAATGTGCTATTGCAGTTGTTTTGACAATAAACGGAAAGTTCTTGAGGATACCTTTGAAAAAGGTATAGTTTTAGAGTGTCTAAAGACAGCCATTATTATTCCTCTTCAGAAGAGTAGTGAAAAATCCAATGTCTGCAATTTTATTGCAATCTTTATTGCAAGCCTTTAAGTCAACCTATTGCCTTACTACCGGTCCTATCCAAAATTATTGAGAGACTTATAAAAGCTCGACTTATGTCCTTTCTCATTGAAAATAAGATTTTATCACAAAGTGATCACAAAGTTCGGCTTTAATCTAGTAAATGTATTAGTGATGCTATGTGTTCTGTACTACATGAGGTCTATCAAGCACTAAACAATAATATTTACATTGCCACTGTTTTTGTGACTATGCGAAAGCTTTTGATTGTGTAAATTACGAAGTTTTAATAAAAAAACCAAATTTCTACAGAATTCGAGGTATTTCTTTGACTTGGTTCCAATCTTACTTGAGGAATAGAATGATACTGACTCTAGTCACAAAAGCATTGTATGTATCACAAGGATCAGTACTAGGTCCTTTACTTTTCCTTATCCTTATAAATAACTTAAAAATCGATGGAAATATTTTTCTTTTTGCTGATGATACCAGCATTACCTGGAGAAACTCTAATATTGCAATTCTTCATGCAACTATAGCTTCTGATCTACTTAAAATAAAAACTTGGTCCGACTCTAATTTACTCTCTTTTAACGTGGATAAGACAGTAGCATTATCCTATAAAGGAGCTTTTCAATCTTTGCTTCTTAATTACAGCCAGATCAGTATAGTTGATTATGTGAAATTTCTTGGTATTTTTATAGACAGCAACCTTAAATGGTCCTTTAATATCGATTTGTTAACTAATAAACTAGACTCAGAATGCTATGCAATAAAATATGTTTCGAAGGAAATCAATTTAGCATCTTCCAAAATAACATTTTTATTTGTTCGAGTCTCATCTTCGATATGGCCTGCCTTTTTTGGGTTCTAGTACAGCTGTTCAATCTGATGATCTAATTTTTAAATTACAAAAAAGAGCAATACGGTAACTTTTTGTCCTTTTTCACATTTATACCTATGTGAAAAGAGATTTTCTGCTCTTGTATATTTTAAAAATTACAAAAACGAACTACAATTGGTAGTAAAAACAACTAAGTAACAAAATTACCCCAAATATAACAAATCTAGTAGCCAAAAAAGCACCAACATTCTCTTACAATATTGTTAATTTTTACAAAAATGTTTTTTTTTTTCAGTACCTACTTAAATCTTAAATCAATTGTTTTAAATGTATTCCTTAAAGAAGTCCTAAAAATTGTGGTTGATTTTCTGTGGGTAAAAAAGGGTAAAAACGCTGATGTAGACGATATTTCAATAGCCCATCAAATAGATACCCGTCCTTTATTTTATTTAAATTATTATTTTTAATATTGTTCTGAAGCTATTTTCTTGCGGCATTTTAAAGTAATTACTATTTAAATGGGAATAAGCCACAATTAAAGGTTAAAGTTAGTTTATTAACGTTTGAATTTCCACTTCGGAAATTGTTCTCAAAATACAAACCGATGTTTTTTGTTTTTTTTTTGAAAACGAGTTTATATTTTGAGAGCGATTTCCGAAGTGGAAATTAAAACTTAAATAAACTAACTTTAACCTTTAATTCTGGCTTATTCCCATTTAAATAGTAATTATTTTTATTCTTATCAGAAAATAATTGATATTTTTTATTTCTTTATAAAAAAACTCATTATAGAAAATTTTTCCATCAGAGAAAAATAAAAAACACTTACGTCAACATTGAAGTCGGCGAACGTCACGGTGAAAGCCCTAAAGGGCGGCGATTCTTTGGGAACGTATCTATAAAATTCCTCGTCGTTCCAATACCATTTGATGGAGTATAAAGCGACTTCCTCGAGATTGTATTCGCAGGCCAAAGTCACCGTGTCACCAGATAGTGCAGCTTCCGGCACGGTGATTCTCATCTCCTTTAGTGTCCAACATCCTGGAAGGAAAAAAGTATAAGAATGGATTTATTTTTCCAGTAAATCAGGTGTATAAGAAAGGTTTTGGCTCAAATTTTAGTTTGGATAAAATAATATTGTTTTTCCAGCCAATGCTGAATACAATAATTAAGGACTTTCATCAAAGTATAGATAGATATATTTGTATTATAGTACATTTCAAAGTTTTTTCAGATAATAGTCTGGAATCTGTAGTTAGTACATCAATTACTAGATTTCGAATATATTTTTGTTTTTTATTTAAAAAAAATGCTGGTCAACCGTTGTACCAGAGTTCAATCAAGGAATAATTTTCATGCTAGTTTCTTTGGTACATAGGGTGTACCAAATTATAAAAAGTGTTTCAATAATAGGTATAGAATTTTAAATAATACAAAAATACTGCACAATATGGTAATTAACAAACAAAAATATAATTATAAGAATAATAGTTCAGGCACTTGAATGATACGGTAAAAACAATCCAAGCACAAAGTCACTTTACAGTCTACGCACTCTATCACTGCGTTTCTGTAATCCCGTTTTTGAGCACTGCTGGCATCGTCTTCGCGTGGTTTTCTGCAGAAAATTACCAAGATTTTGAAAATGCTCCCATGTTTAATGGCCTCCTAGTTTTTTTTCTCGCAAAAATATCTTTTTTCTTCAAACGTCAAATAATGATGGCATTACTTATCTAACTTGATCCTGTCAAAGTTTGATGTCTCCGCCGGCAGCAGTGTTTTTTCCATTTCTTTACGGCAGAGGGAAAAATGTTATCATGGCAACAATATGAAACATGTCACAAAGCAACAATATAAATGTCATTAACAACAATTAAACATCATTTTTTACTATTACTGTTTAACTGTTTAACACTGTTTAACAACAATTAAACATTCAAACAAAATGTATTTAGAGCCCAACTGGACGTGTAAATACGATATTTACAGGGAGTATTATAAATGGAGTCAAGAGAAAGATACAAAACTACTGTCCTATTTTGTATTTTCAAATACATTTTAGGACAAAAATTTATGCTTATTTAGACCTAAGAAAGATGAATGTGAAACTTGTGTTGGTTACAAAGTGGGCCAAATTTTAAAAGAAGCCATGTTATTGTTGCTTCTTAAAAGGCAGAAAATATTGATTTTTCACGTTGAGAAACCCTATGTATAGCACTTCTGACGAGACCTATTAGGTCGAAATACGTATCAAGAGATACATAGGATTTGTTTGCGTGAAATCAAATATTTGCTGCCTTTTCTCAAAATAAAGAAAAGTTTACTGTCTTTTTCTTGTCTGTCTCTTGCCCTTTCTAAAGGTTTGACCTTTACGAGAGTACTAACAAAAACTTTCTTTTCCTTCCAAGACATCTTCCAAAACTGGTTAAATATCTTTTGCCTATCTTCTTCGAACAATGTACTTAATTTCATAATGGATTTTTCTCCTCTGGTACAGGTAGGTACATCTTTGTTTTAAAGACTTTTGCTCTTTGGGGATATCGTACTTCAATTTCCTATCAATATTTTTTACCCAAATAGGATTTACCGAGTTCCCTTTTATTCTTGTTTTTATTTACGGCCCAATTTTAACTATTTTCTGAACCTCTTTAAGTTAAACTCTTTTTCCAACATTCTGAAACTGATATACATTATTATCCAGCATAGTTTCATCACTGAAAAGAACTAGGGAAGGCCTATGTCCAGCAGTGGACGTGATTGGCTGGTGGATAGTTTCATCAGGTTGTATGCCCAAGTTGACTTCCATCTCAATATTCTCGCAAATATCAATAGCATCAAATATATTAAACTGTGGGCTTTTATCAAGAATACTGTCTTCTGATACTGTTTTAAAACATGACTGCTCAGTAGGCCTACCATCTTTAACTGTGTCATGGTGTAAGCTTGTTTCAAAAGTTTGATCAAAACCATCAGTGTAGGATGACATAATCAAAGGATCATTATTTAGCACTACTCCAGTAGACCTATCCTCAAATAAAGTTTCTGCTGAAACAGAAACTTCGGTATTCCCATTTAAGGATTCTAGTTTAGACAGAGATCCTGTATCACTTATAACAAAAATATCATTTTTTGAATTAATTGTTCTATTTAAGATGTCATAGACCTCAGATGTATTTACACTATTTAACATTTCTATAATTTTACTGCTTCTACTGGTCATGATTGTTCGAAATATTATTATTTCTTAATCTGAAACAAAACAAAAACACTGAAATTATATCCATTTATAAATAATAAAATAATGTTTAACAGATTAGGTGGTTATACGTTAGTTAGTTAATTTAGAAATAAACCTTAATGATTAAATAGCTATTATGATAAAACTTTATTCTTATTTTGTTAATCAATAAAATAATCATTTTTTAATATCAAAAAAGATCTTGAAACTACTAACTCTTCAATAGATATGTAATTAACACTTTTAGCTAGGTTAGGCGGTGTTAGGTTAGTTTATAAATAAACATTTTTTTAAAAAGCTTTTATGCATAAATCTTGATTGGGAATTTTGTAAATCAATAAAACTTAATTATTTCAAAAAGGTAGGTATACGAAGTATTTCACCCAATTAGTACCCAATTCAGTTCATTTGCACATTTTTCTGTACTGCTTGGGATAGGGGATGGTCCATTTATGCCGTCGATAAAAACGTGGTTCACTGACGTGACGTTTGGTAAGAGGTTGGTGTGAAATAGATAATAGGAGCTGCTTTGGTCGACTAAACAAACTATGTTTTATTATGGTTGGATAAAGGTCTAGATATTGAACGTCATCTTTTTTATTGACGCAATTAATACATTTTTGATCTTTATGGTGTCTCTGGCTATTCTTAGTTTATTGAAACAGATGGGGGATATAGTACTGGAATTTCTAAAATAAATTTTGTGACCTGTATGGAAATGATGTTAGCATATGGCTGAAACTAAATCATAATTACGAACGGAAATGGAATGTTCATAGATCCTCTTTCGGATTCTTCAATTGGTCTGGCCTATGTAAGGTCGGGGACGGTCGGCATAAGGAATTCTATAAAATCCGTGTTGTTCATTACTAGTATTATTTTTGACGAATCGGACAAGAGATAAATGTTTTTGTTGTGGGGCAAAATTGTTTCCATTTTCTTTGAGAAATTTTCTTCATTTTGTCACTGAAACCTCTGAAATAAGGAAGAAAAGCATTCGTATAATGAGAGTCAGATACTTTTAATTTGAATTGAGCAGTAGGTTAATGCCTAAGGATGTTCCTATTAATATGATGTTAGTGGTAACAAAAAGCTTATTTTGCAGTTATTATTTAACGTATTAGTCTGGAAACAAGGATATCATTGACTGAATTAGTTTTTAAGGGAGGGTGGTAAGAACTTTTATGCAAGTAGCGGTTGGCATAGGTGGGTTTTAGGTACACCGAGTAATGGAAACCTTGAGATTAATATTTCTTTATTAGAATATCGAGTAACGGAAAGCATCCTTGCCGTAAAGCCAAATGAGAAGTGTATCGTATCATATATCGCATTATCGTTTATTTTCAAAACGCATCAAACTTTTTTAGTAATTAAGTACTTGCACTCATGGTTTATAACATTGTGACAATCTTAACAAGCACTTATGCTAATATCTTAAGCATAGCAGGCAATTTCTTTTGTGTAAAACTGTCCGTATTTGAAACAATCATAACTAAGCAGGCAAAGCAAATATTTTCAATTTTTTTTTTTAAATAGTTTTTAAGTCAATTCGTATAAATAAGTAAGTTTTGATTATTCTTTTGTAAAAATTATACCCGGCAAAGGGCACAGATAACATAGTGTCTTTGTCAGGTGGTTAATCATCCATAATAGGAAATACTCTCACGTTGTTTTTCGCTCTTTTGTCATAAAAAACGCAACAATACAAACTTAACGAACATTCTGCGCTGAATAGCTTTTCGTTTTTCAAAACAATAGAAGTGACTCCAATAGATTTTTGTGATTGGCTTTTTGTGCATTAAAATTTCCAGCTTTTTTGTGGAACAGTTTTTCAATAGATTGTACGAACGCAACTGGACAAACAAGTTTTCGCTGATATACAAAGCGAGTTGTTTATTGATTGTGTAAACTATTAGAATAATTTTTAATTTACTTGCAAATTGTGCCTAAAAAATAGTTAATGAACTTATTAAAATACATTTTAAATGGTTTAGATTGTTTTACATTTCCATGGTTCAATGTTTGATATTTTATAGTGACATAAAATATTTAATTGCCAACATTATTTAATTAAAAAGGTCCAATTAAAATCCTTGTGTTTCTTTATTTAATAACCCATTCTACTCAATCCAAACGTTATCAGGATCTATTATATATATATATATATATATATATATATATATATATATATATATATATATATATATATTTAGATTTCCGCGGTTAGTACAATAAAACCTAGAGCTAAGATTAATATTATTACTAAAATTAATATCAAACTTACCAATCTTCCGGGTTGAACCGTGTCGATATCCATTTTGCCGAGCTTTCGGCATCCTCTCTGATGCCTTCCTCAGGGTTTCCGAGGGCCAGTCTCCCGAGCCCCCAGACACTACTACACTGTTCACTGATCACTGCGCTGTCGTGACAGCGCAAAGATTTATATTTTACCTAACAATTTTTAAATACATGAACACTCGCGCGTTATATTTAGACTAATGTTCAGCTTCATTTAGCTATCGCATGAGCAGTCATGGCATTGTATTATCTGTATAGCATTGTAGAAATCAGTAAACAATTTTTTTATAACTTTAAAGAAAATTTTTGTATTGAATAATTTTTTGTTAGATTATATCTAACAGCGCGACTGATAGAGGGTTAAATATAATGAGTAATATAAAAAAGTGAGAACATTCGACTTATTTTTTGTTTCATTTACTTAATAAAAACAATAATCAAAGCGTTTGTGCAAAAATCTAGCGAACTAACTGTATAAAACTGGCACAATAATATATTTTTGTGTCCTGTCACTATATCCAATAAGATGCAGTTCCTCCGTCTCTGCAGGGGCCCGCAACAAAGTCAAAATTGAATAAGGGGAGTCCATTCGCATGCCAATGTTGGCGCGATATCGACGCTTCGCTGTTCTGCTTGCATCCTTTCGCCATAAAATATCCCACGCACTCGCTGAACTTGGCAAATGAATTATTACTAGTCGAGAGAGATGTGAGGAGCGGGCTAAAGTAAAGAAAAAACCGGAGGAAACTATGAGGACTGAGAGTGAGTGGTTCTTATGTAGGAGTTGAGAGCAGATCTTGCTTTTTACCAACGGCTGTAAATTTCTTAAGACAGACTGGAGTGGCTTGGAGAACGCTCAAATTATGTATATATTCCCACTTTGATACAAAAAATGTACAAAAAATTGGATTGGGGTTGTGAACAATATTAGTGGGTATCAGACTGGAAAGTTGGAAGCTGACAAATGATGCTTAGAAGATTCTCTCAAATTGATAATCAAGCAAACAGACAAATATGGAAATATTTTACATTTTTTTGCAATAAACTACGATGATTGTAATTTAGTGGTTCAATGCCCAAGCCAGTAAAGCAAACTGATGCAAAATGTTCAGGATATGTAAACAATATTTTATTTATTAGTGGGTAAACTTTTAGACAAAAATCAATTTTCTATTTCTTTGTTATTTGCAAATGACGTTTTACATTATAGAAAATTTTAAAAGATGAGATGAACACTATGAAGTTATAGAGAGGAATTAAAAATATTTCGCTGTTTTATGATTTGTTTGGTTAAGTCTTTCTGGTTTTTAAATAGAAAAATAGAAATAAATAGGAATATTGGATTATACTGGAATATGTTGGAAAACGATAGCTTACTTTAATTAATTAAATGAAATAAATAAATACAGGCTTTAACTAAGCGGCATTGTCTAATGTAAATAAGGCAGCAAGACACTCAGAGGCAAAAAAAACGCATCGGAGAAAATTTTGGTCAAATTCAAGGTATTACAGTTTTTTTTATTTTTAGCCCTCTTTTAATGATTTTTTTAGCATATTGTGTAAAAATTTATAAATTTTAATTTAGTATAGTGAGCTTTTTAATAAAATTTTGTATTTGACTTATTTTACGGGGTTAATCGAAAGGTGGCTTTTTATCCTAACTTTGAAACATCTTGTGGAATAATTCCGTTAGCGGATCTTCGTAAAACCTTATTGCAACCATGTCTTTTAAGTATTATGCTTTTTGTTTCATGTGAAAATATAGATCGGTTCATTTTTAGGAGTAAAATGACTTTGCCACCCACAATTTACAACTTTTCCTATTATTACCGTTATCTTTTGTATGGAATTCTCGAAGGAATGTCATATCGATATCCCGAAAGCACTGGTACAATTAACAATAATAACAATTATCATCATCAGTACATAGTCGTCTACTGCTGAACATAGGCCTCCTCGAAAAACCTTAATTCAGATCTATCTTGCGCTGCTGCAATCCATTTGGTACAAATCCTCTTTATGTCGTCAGTCCATCTTGTGGGTGCTCTTCCCGGGTTTCGTCTATCCGCTCTCGGTCTCCACTCCAACGTTTTTTTGGTCCATCTATTATGCTTCATTTTAGCGACGTATCCTACCCACCTCCATTTAATTTTGGCTATGTGTTTTATAATGTCTTCTACACCAATTTTTTTTTATGGATATCTTCGTTTCTTACCCTATTTCGCAACGTTATGCCTAACAATGATGTTTCCATTCTACGTTGCGTCATCGTCATTTATAGTTTTCGTGTAGATGTCCTTGGTAGGGTAAGTGTCTCTGCGCCATATGTAAGGACAGGCAGGTTACACTGATTAAAATAACAATAACAAAACATAAAAAACTACTTAAATGTAACTTAACCTAAAACCGCAAAAAAAAAACTACGAAAAAAAACTTAATATTTTGTATTGCCTTCCCTAGCCTCTATAACTGCCTTATACGTCGGCTCATACTATCTATGAGGTTACGAATATTATCTTGCTGGATGTTTTACTATTCTTCTTCTAGAGCTAAGCAAAGCTCGTTAATTGAGGCTGGTGCGATTTCGCGACCTCTAGTATTTCTACCAAGCATGTAGCAAACATGCTCTATTGGGTTTAGATTTGGCGAACAAGCTGGCCAGTTCATTTTATTAATATCAACTT